CTTTTAGCATCCCTGTTCTTTCTGCATTACGCTGTTACACGGTGCAGGACAAAGCAAGATCTGTGAATGTGTTTAGATTAGCCACTGCTAAGCCGGACTTAAAAATAACCCTTTTGGAGGCTGGTGCTTAATCTGGCCAAATAATGGCCCTGGCCATTCCAGTGAGATGTAGATGTTTTGCTGTTTCAGACAGTGGGGCTCATGACCACTTGGGTAGGTCGAATTGTTCCTGTTTCCCAGTCAGAAAGGTGGTGACTATAGTCAAGTAGCTTCAGGTGAGTAACACAAAAGCATCCCTGAAATGACTTGAGGTGGTGGACGTTGTTATTTTAGTTCCCACAATTTAGGGAGAATTTAGTGGAAAAATGTGTAAGGCACCAGAACACTGTCTGAAAACTTCTAAGTTCAGTAAAATCAGTTACCCACTTGCTAAAAAAAGTTAAGAAACATCCTGAATGCTGACAAGTGTCTGCAGAGCAATACCTCTCCTGCCTTTTGAGTTCGGAATTAAAGCAAGTTGTAAGTCTAAAAGTTTATTCAGCTGGACCTTGACTTGCAAGAGGAATGGGCTGACATGAACCTCATAAAGGTGAAAAAAAGCAAACGCAGCATCCTGCTTCTGGGATGGGACAACCTGGCTTCTCTCTAAGCACCTTTGGGGAGGGGCAGGTGGTTGTCGCAGACAAGGAGTCGAGCCCGGCTCAGCAGGGTGCCCTTGTGATAAGAAGCTCTCTGCGGGTTTCAGATGCTGTGTAGCCAGCAGGTTGAGGGAAACGATGATTGCCCCCCATTCGGCACCGGGGAGGCTGCCTCGGGAGCGCTGGGCCCAGCTTTGGGCTCCGTGGGACAAGGCAGGCCTGGACATACCAGAGCGAGGACCACCACGAAGGCCCAGGAGGCTGGAGTGCCTGGGCTTGGCGGGGAGATGGGGAAAGCCGGGCTTGCTCAGCCCTAAGACGAGGCGGATGCAGGGGGCTGGCACTGCGGCCCCCCCGGCTGCCAGGGAGTGCCAGGAAGGCAGGGCCAGGGTCTGCTTGGAGAGGGTGGGAGGCAGCAGGCACGAGCTGCCGCAGGGAACTTGCAACTACAGGTTGGGGGAAGAAAAGCTTCACCGAGAGGGCGACCACAGAAACCGGGGCTGGAGCCACGTGCGCTGCCCTGTGCCGACGTTCCGAACTCAGCCTGGCAGGGCCTCAGCCAACCAGCTCCAGCTCAGCCCTGTTTCGAGTAACAGCTTAAACCAGATGATCTCCGGAGGACAGCAGTGTTATGTAACGTGCTGTGCTGTTTCATCTGACCTTGTTCACTGGACTGCGCTCAGTCGCACTTTTATTTCTGATCCAAGTCTTAGACAGCTGGGCCATGAGGAAAAAAATTAAAAATTGTACTAACTATTTTCTTGAGGGACTGTCATTGTTTGGGGGAGTGTGATGAAATCCGATTTATATTTTATTTTAACATAGCACTAGTATTTTGTTTCCCTTTTAAAGCTTGTTATTCTTATAATGAAGTTAACATTTTTCAAGACCAGTGTCAGGTGTAACAAACATAATTTTTCCTGCAGGGAAAGCACATCCTCAGGTTACAAACTTTGAACAGCTAATTAAGTTAGGGAAAAAGCAATGAATCTTCCATACAGCAGTACTGTCACTTGTTCAAACCTTTACGTGGTACTGGTTGAAAGAAACTTTCAAAGGGAATAGGAATTTATTGATTTTTTTTAAGTTGCCTGCAGTCTGACTTAGACCAACTGAATACCTAACCTCCCCTTCAATAACAGCAACATAGGTAAGTACTATCAGAATTTGTGGTGGTTGATATTTTAAATATTTGGGGTAAGCAGTCAGGCTTGCCCATGCTTGGAATGACCTGTGCTAGTAGGAACTTGTCAGGACCACAATCCTCCATGTTCACGCCAGTTACTCAGTGAAAAGCATTCAGCGGTTCTCTGGTGATTTCTTAGGCTATTTTAAATTATATGCAGTGCTTCTAAACAATTACCATTTGAGCTTTCATTTCCTCTGGCTAAGGAAGATAAGCTGATAGAAGCTCAGGAATTGCTTTGTAAGCCTTTGAGGCAAAAGACACTGACAATTGTCCAAATAACAGCAAAGTTAGTACGTAGGAGCTCAGCGAGAGCTGTAGAGCAGCACTTCTGAGGAACTGTCTAGCTGCACGAATATACTAAAATAAGATCTTAAATCAATCAAATGTAACAAAAAAGTATGCTGAGCCACTAGATAAATTTAAAGAAAAAAAACAAGCCAAACATGAGCCTCCTGTGGATACTTTCCAGTTTTATTCTGCTGCCATAACATAGTCTCACACAGAAGAGTTGAAGTGTAACAGATCATGCTCTGCATTCAAATATTTTTGATAACATTTAAACAAATTACTCAAAAAAACCCATTCCCCAGTTCTTTATTTGCAGGGAATAAATTAACACAAAAAGAAAACACACATACATGCTTGAAATAAATTTTAACATAAGTATTAAAAAAACATTGGGGGGAACATTAATTAAAGAATGAAGTCTCAGAACCAGCCTGATGTTCTTATACTTTTCAAATGAATGTAAATTAAAATGGAACATATTTTATTTACTCCTCAAACTTAAGTGCAGCACAACACAGTTTAAGTGCCTTGGCACCAAAATAATATACAAATAATTAATAGACTAGGCCATTGGTCAATGTATCATTTGTTACCCTTGTTTTAATGCTAGAAGGGTGCAGCAGCTAAAGCCAAATGTGACCTATTTGTTCACGTCCATCTCTATGCTTTAGAATATAGCATTTATCTACCTGCAAAGTTGTAGATAGATTTAAAACCTCAAGTACAAATTAACGGGACAGAAGCATGTTCCTAATGAAGCACGTTCACATAAACTCTGGACCGCAGAAATGGATGCTGAGCTCAACTTTCCAGACGGTTCCTACCTAAAATGATTTGTTTCTCTGTTGTTATTAAGCCGACGCCAGGTTTGACCAAGGTCAGCTGAAGCAGCCATTGAATATAAAGTTTTGGACTTCTAGTGATTGGCTTTTTTCTCACCTTCAGGAGTTCCTCTCCTATTAAGTTTGTCATACATGATAATCTGAGAAAGAAACGTAGAACTCAGACATACGTGGCTCTCAATCTTTCCTAGTTACGCTCTAAGCTGGCCTGTGATGTAGGAAATCAACAAAGTGCAAATGATTACCAAAAGCAAAATCTGCTGTCTGATTATCTTTTATCATCAGAGGATTTTGTCTTCTTCCTATAGCCTTTAAATTACAATTTAATACTTGGAAATACTTTAAAACTGTACATACTAGCATTTATGTAGAGGAAAATTATGAACAGTTACACTTTTCCTATTAATCCATAGAATTCAGCTTTAAGAAGCAGAACAGAATATATATCTGAAAAACATCTAGTTATATAAACATCTTCACCTTGTAAATTAGAGATTAAATAAAGGTATTTAACAATATCATAGCTACTCTATAAACAAAGTAACAGGTATTAAAAAAGAAGAATTGCGTTTATTCAGTAGGATTTTTCTTAAGGTTGCTTGTTTTTTTTTTTCCCCAGGGATACAGCTTTATGGAAATAAGCACTACAACTCAAAAATGTTTGTTTGAAATGGTCAGAAAAAGAAAAAAGCCTACGCATGAGAATGGGAGGGAGAGAATAAGTGCTTACTTTCAGAAATCATGAGCTCTATGGAGTGAATTTATAGCGAAGGTATGAGGGAAGAGATCTAAAAGTCGGTTTTAATGTTTTTTCATTAATACTCTTTTAGTGGAACAGCATTGCCACCGATACCCTTCCTGGTCGTGTCTGTCTTATTCCTATTGAAAAATATTTTTTCTTCCCTGTCCCATGGAAAAGCTGTTAGATAGATGCTTAGCCCTTTCTGAATTACTCCCTCAAGTTGTTTTTAATAATACTTTAAAAATAAAACAAAACTTCAAGTCAAAGTGCAAGCCACCTTCTTTCAGCCCTTCATGAAAGTGTTAGTATTTTTCCTCATTCATCTTCTTTTATTTTTTAAATACCAAAGCTGAATGAGCTGTTAGGAACTTGCAGTCCTTCCCCCCTCACTGTGCACTCGTAGCAGTAGATAGTTCCTCTACTCAGCCCAAATGAATCTGGAGGTTTGATTTCAAAATGATAATAGAGAGATAGTCTTTTTTAAGCTGTCCCGTTTCTACGTCATCAGAAGCACTAAGCAAATCTAAATTTAGCCTATTACGGTAACAAGAATTTCTCTGAGTAAGTAGCAGAGAGGATATTTCAACTTTTTTTAAAGTAACATAAAAATTTTTCAAGTTTTCATTAGCTACAATAACCTTTCTAGGATTGCACTGTAAACTGTTCCAGCTATCTGATTCAAAGGAACAAACTTCATATTCCAAAGCCCACTTAGTGGAGGCTAAGAACATGAAAAATATTCTAGAAAAGGTTACTGACTGCCCATGGGAAGAATGATAGTTCGGTTCCTTCCTCCAACAATTCCAGAATTTGCCGAGGCTCTGCAGGCTTTTGGGAGCAAGTTTTGAACCCCTATGAGCATAATCGACCTGAGAAGCACAGTTAGTGGGAAACTCCCGTCATCATTACTAACTGCCAGCATTTTTAATGCTGCGGGTTAACTTCAGTCTTGTTTTAGCCTGACCTTCTGAAATGAAACTCTGCAACAGCCCGACTTGAGCCGTACAGAAGACGACTCTCAACAAACGTTCAGCTCTTTAAGCTGGGGCCAGGGACTCCAATGTCACTCTTGCTAGTAAGACCTTGGCTGGAAAACAAAACAAAACACCCAACAATATGTTGTATCAGGGCTCAAAAGGGGGATAGGGGTAAAAGAGGAAAAGGAAGATGAAGATTTTATCTTCAGGTACCATATGCTATTTACGTACCACTTAGGAAAAAGGCAGCGATAGGAAACTTGAAGATAGTTTTACCCACAGAAAACAATTAAAAATAGATCTAGAAACACAAAAATTCAGTACTTAAAACGCTGCTATTTTGCTCGCTTCTCGAACCCCACTCAAGTAAGCTCCTGTCACGGTCTGAGGAAAGTGCCTATTTGTGGCCTGTATTTAAAAGAAAAGAAAAAATTAATTCTTTCTACAACTACTAATGCAGGTAGAATATCAGTTTCCAAGATCAGCTTTGTTTTCCTTAAGCGTACAGCAACATTTTTAAAAGCTGTGGGAAACTACTTACAAAGAATTTCGGAGGAAATAATTAAGATTTTTCGCGACTTCAATATTTGCAGGCAGGTCACCTAGCAAAATTAGTAGTTTGGTTTGCCATTTGCATTTTAGTGGGGCAGGGAGGTTCTGTTCCTGTACAGAATATCCCTGTACCATCGCGTTACCCACCAATGGAGTAACAGAAAAACTATATGACTAAAAATACGAGTGGATTGTATCGTCCTGTCATGTCCTGCATTTAATGGTTAGTTCCTGACCTCAAATATTTGCCCACTAACAGTAAGAATAAAGGAGGTTCTGTGTCAAAATCGAGAAAAAACGGCATCTTTGTGGAAGAGAATCTTTCTGTGCTACCTCTAGATTCACGGGGCTGGTTAGCAAAAGATGATCTTTCATAAGAAACTGTTCCCCAAGGACGTTAATCAACGGGAACAAAGACACTTACCTCACCGGCAAAAAAAACTTTGCCTTGTATGTCTTCAGCGATGATGTCGTAAGCTTCCCCGCTGCCTCCGGTTTTCACAAAGCTGTACGCCATCTGGAGCCAAGGGTCTTCGCTCCATCGAGTAACAAAAAACTTCACCGGGTCAGGAACCTCCTGCATAATCAAAACAACAGTTCTGCGCTGCAAAGCTCATAATTGCACAGCTTTGCCTCATAAACAGCTTCTTGTAATCTTCAGCTTATGTGCTGTTATGATGATACCGAGCAGATCGCGTTCCAGAATTAGATTCCAATTTTCTTCATTTTACTACTAACCACAACAATAATTTTGTTTGCTAGGCTTGCCTGATGCCTGAAACATCACAGATGGGCTTTTCTGAAGGCAACAAATCTGCATATTGCAATATACCTAGAACTACGTGAGGGGAAGAAAAAATAAATCTCAAAATACATAGATACTCTTGCCAGCAGATAAGATACTAGTATCAACGTCACTCAACACGTTTGTCTGTACAACGTAACCACTTTTTACCTCGGCATGCTGCTTTGCTACTTCTAGCTAGTTAAATCTCAAAATGTCATCTTCATTTTGGAGATAATTTTTTTTCCCAATGGAGAAATAACATTACTTTTCTAATGTCAGAAAATTAGCTGGTAAACTAGGTTCAGGGAGAAAACAAAACCCAGAAAAAATCAACATGTCTGTAGCTAAGCCATGACAGTAATACTGCGTGTTCTTTGTCACATTGCAGCGTGCAGATTCCACACAGTTCTACCAAAAAAGGGTCTGAATAGAATCACAGAACGTTAGGGGTTGGAAGGGACCTCTGAAGATCATCCAGTCCAACCTTCATCCCAGCATACCTAACCACTACACCACAGCCTCAAGTGCTAGATCTGCTTTTTTTTTTAAACACCTCCAGGGTTGGTGACTCCACCACCTCCCTGGGCAGCCTGTTCCAGTGCCTCACCACTCGTTCAGTAAAGAACTTCCTCCGAATATCCAATCTAAACTTACCCTGACGCAACTTGAGGCCATTTCCCCTTGTCCTGTCATTAGTAATTAGAGAGAAGAGACCAGCACCAGCCTCACTACAGCCTCCTTTTAGGTAGTTGTAGAGGGCAATTGTCTGAAAGCTTAGTCAACTGTAGCTGGTTCTTACTCTGGAGAAGCTTGTGACAAGCAAACAGAAGCACCCCTGGTCACCTCTTGCACAACGCTGGCATCAACAAATAGACTGACTCAGCCAGGTAGCACGAGAGACTCGGGCTCAAGCAACCAAGGCAACAATTAGCCAAGTATGGCGAGTTTCACGGACATCCCCCGAGGCCTGGCATAGCTGTGGAAGCTATTTTGTCTTGGAAAATCCTGCTGCGTTGTGGAAGGGTGACTGAAATTCGGAACTGCTACAAACCACGGAGACAGACGTGAAGAATCACTCTTCTAGACAAGAGTGGCACGAGAACCAAAGGCCTGTTGGCCATTCTCAGGAGATCAAAACAGCAGGTATGAGGACTTATACTGCACATGATTCTGGTAACTGTAAAGCCATTCCCAAAAGTATGTTTGCTAGTCTGGCTTTCAGATGCCAAACTTTTTCCAAGATCCTTAATCCTAACATCTCAGCCATCAGTAAAGCTCGAGAGATGACCCAGGAACATTAACACGAACGTTCCTTGGGACGTAGCTAAGGCATCGCTGCCTGCAGAGTGAAACACAAATAATGAACTGTTAGGGCCCTTGACAGGTCATTTTGCCTGTACCTCCATCCCAAGATAGCTCAGGAAGTGTTTCTTATTAGAAGAGATTGGTTTGGTGTGCGTGTGTTGTAATTTCAGCTGGTTTTTTATATCTATCTTAAAGCTTTTATCATGTATTGGAAGCGGTGATGACAAAAAAAAAATCAAAATGTTTGGAAAAAGCGACAGCTAAGTAACAAGTGTCTTTGTGTTACCTGTCTAAAGTACTAATTTTAATTAATTTTTCTTTCTAAAAGCACTTCAAAGGATGATAGTTCATCTCTGGTTTTCAATTCATTACTATTTTCCTTCAGATAAATCTAAGATAGTTCCACTCACATTTTTCACGCAAGAGACCAAACATTGTGTTTCTAGTGCATCTCAAAGGAAGCATATTCCCTCAAACTGACAAGAAAAGAAAAATAGTTGAAGATGTCAAAGGCTGTCCTGTACATCTCAAAATAATGCAAAGCTTTGTGCCTGTTGGCAAGTTAATTTATCTTTCACTAAGCGAGGCTTCTCTTACCTGCTCCTTAAACAGCTCTCGAAGGACAGTCATACACTGCTGCAGTACTTGTTTGTCATCTAAACTGCTAATGGTTGTCACAGCATCCCCAGTGACCACTGTCATCAAAATGCTTTGTTTGCCCTAAAAACAGGACACAAACATACGAGATCATTTTTTGAAATTATTAAGGTATTAAAGCTTGCTTGAAAAGAGTCCCTTTTAATTGGCACTGACAGATTTTCAGCTACGAAGCAACTTTTTCTTCTAGAGGAAGAAAAGGCTGGTTGGAACCGGCAGGGAAGAAAAACGCAATGTCGGGGCACGGGTGCAGATTTGTTCTGAAGTTTGTGAGTGACCCTATCGACCTTCCTTTCATACAAAACTTAGTGTCCCTCTTCTCTTCTGCCATTCCACACAGTTATTCAGGCCAGTGCAAGCCATCAAGTGTTAATAAGCCAGCATGATCTTTTCAACAGGATTTTTAGCTGATTTAAATAGGAGACAGAAGTCCTAAATGGGAACCGACTGGCAGTCTTTTTCCCACATTAGCACAAGCGTAGTCAGGTATTACAGGATACCTGCCTGGAATCAGGATGATTTGAGAATAAACATTAACTTGCTTGTACATTATTTTGTATCCAAACACAGGAAAACATTCCTGTTTATTGCAATGAAGTATTAATCAGCTTTTTCTTGATAAGTAACACAGCTTCCGCTTCTTTTAACAGGTGGGGGGGAAAACAAAAAAGCTTTCACTGTTCAGTAATTATTGCACCTGGATTCCAAACACAGCTTCTGAAGGGCCAACAGAAAATGCAGCAAGCACATGGTACCTCTGGATCCATGTCATAGAACACACTAAAGAGCCCACGTTGGCTGGAATTGGGTGGAACATGGCCAAAAAAATCAGCTCCTTGGATTTTACTGTCCCAAAATCTATAAGGAAACTGCAAGGCAATCTAGACAGAGAGAGTGAGAGAGAGAAATAAATCACAGAACTCCTAACTAGGTATGGCATATGCTCTTCTAATTCTTTTCCCCTTTTCCACTCATTTAGAGACACCCGGTTCTGTGAGGGAGTCTCAACAAAGACTATCCAGGCCTGTTCTCCAAGGGGAACAGGGAAGGAAAAAAAAAAAATTTGCTAGTCTTACAGATTGCAAATGTGTGGACTCTTAAATTCGCTATGGAAAATGCTTGAGAAATTGAGCAGAATTTTTACAAACATAGAACTCTGTGATCCCCATCCTGTGCCTTTAAATTTCTACATTGTTATAATCACCTTTCTGGCATTAATTCTGTTACTTTTTTGTTCTAAGCACATGTCTTACTAGGGATCTTTTCAGGAGAGGCTGTCTTTTTGCATTGGGAGAGGGTAGGAGATTTTACATGGTCAACTACACAACTCTCAGTATTCTTCTGAAATAGTTTATCTGTGTATTAGGTCAAAAGGACCTGGAATAAGCATATTATTAGAATTTTGATGAAGGCACGCTTAAAATTATGCACAAAACATTTGTGTGAAGTGTTGCGAAGTGATTCATTCTGCAAACAACTCCTATTAACACCCTATTCAGCTTGGAAATCTAAGAAATGGAAATATTCCTGAGAGCATTTTGCTCTTGTGGGCTACTGTACACAAGTAAAACCAAATCATAACAAATTTTGAGAAACACACAGCAGAAGTAACGGGGACAAAGCAGCCAATGTTTCTAAGAGAACAGAATGAAATATAATCTGAAATTACTTACCTTCTCAATGACTCCCGCTCCCAAACTATTAATGGCTTTAATTTTTTTTTCCGACAGTGGAGGATTAAACTGAATGGCATTTTTCTGAAGAAGGGCCAGTGGTAGAGTCACCAATACCTGAAAGAAATAATTACACAGTAATTATTCCAGCAAAAGCTGAAAACTGCATTCAAGTCCCACAGCATCCTCTTAACTATCCTGGGTTATTCATGGAGAACACACCCCTAGTTTACTCTGCCCATTGATGGGAAACACATGGTTTATGCTCAGGTGAGAACAGATCCTGCAGTTCACTGGTTTTAAGTTGCAGTCTGTTGAATTGCTTCTATCGGAGTGGCTAACCACGCTACTAATTTTAATACCTCCTGTAAATTAGTCAACGGCTCTCAGATTAACAGAACTGCCTTTCTGAAAGGAGAGGAGATGGTCACTGCTTTGATTTTTAATTCCTTCACAGATCCCTTCGATTTAAAACACGCTCAGTAACACTGTCGGTGTCAATGCAATCTCGATCCAGTTTACATCGAATTTTAAAAATCACTAAAAGCCACGTGACACAGCACGAAGCAGCTGGGGATAGCAAGAGTAAGGGAGACTGAGAAACACAGGTTGTCAAGTCCTGCATATCAACGGGAAAAACTTTAACAGGGTAGACTCATGCGCTAAATGGACTAAAGCTGAGCAGGCAGTGGAACCAGGAAACATGTTTGTCACTTCAAAAAGAAGATAAAAATCTACTTGCTCGCATATTCTTAGTACCACCTTTACAGTGCTTAGTCCCTCAATGAAAAATAGGCCCTAGAACATCCAAATAAGGGTCACTAGAATATATTTTCATCTTTGAGTGGGGAGAAATAGGACTAAATAGTCTTTTTTGAGGAGGGAGAAATAATGGACATGTACTGTGGGTTTTGTGTTCCCTAAAATCCTTACAGCACACTGCGTACCTTTTGTGTTGTCCACACTGTTCCATCTGCAGTAGTAACTTGTACTTCTTCACCAGAATAGTCAATACTCTGTACCTATTGGAAGACATGTTGGGGAAGATTATACTACAAAATCTACGTATGCAAGGCAACTTCAGACAAGAATAGCTGACATAACACCAGCCTGCAAACTAGAAATTGAGGAACAGAGAATTCAAGGAAATATTAAAAGGAAAAAAAGTAGCCTCTGTGGAAGCTTAAAAAAAAAATCATTATGATTCTAATGTATAAGCTCATCATATCGTAATATTTAAGTACTGATAGTCCTCAAAGAGGATTTCCAGAAATGCTGAAATTGTGATCTCTTTTTTTAAAGATGAGTCAAAATAATCACGGGCACAGATTTGCCAGGTCCAAAAGAATACAAAGATACAATCGGGTGTTCCAGAGCAATCCAAGACAGGCACAGCACCAACATTTTCCAGACTCACTGGGAAATTCAGCCGGATGTCCAGCCCTTCTGCCAATTTATCGATCACGGTAGAATATCCCACGGTTAGAAGAGTGTGATCTCCAGCAAACTGGGCAAAGAATTCATTGTGGTCCCATGAGCGCGCAGATACCTGTGGACAGAACATAGCCGGCTGTCTCTACTGGGGAGGGGACAGAAGTCCCACAGTTTAGAAGAAGCCACCCTAATTCCCATCATAACTGGGGAGAGGAAAAGAAAAAAAGTATCATCAGAACGTATGGCAAGGCTGACAAAAGCAAATGGTTTATTTACTGAAGAGGGCTACACCACATCTGAACGGCTGGATTAGGAAATGTCAAAATATGGCTTGGTCAGTAGCAAGTAATTTATAGTTCTGCTTGGTAGAGAAACCAGGGCAAGCAGTACGAAAATTCTGGTGGATTGTGGTGTATTTATTTCGGTTTTCTGTCTCTGGCAAAGAAATCAAAAGTTTACAGCCTTAAGAGTTCAAATGAAAATGGAAATAAGATACAAAAATTTTTCTGTCACTTTGGAGGTTCTTCCACCTTTTATTGTCCTTTTCTCCCCACCCCAGCAAACTCGTAGTTAGTACAATAGTGATATTTGCACTATGCAATCACCACTTAGCAGCGAAAACGCCGAAGCAATTCTCAAACTGCTATTCAATTGCCAATTCCTCTCGCTGCAGTTGCATCTACCTCAGGTTTTGCTTTTAAAATTGAAGGCGAGGTACACTTTCTGATCTTTCTTATTTCCCCTGGGTGCCTGTGAAGCGCGAAAGCTCGACACGTCAAAGTATTTCACACAGACTGCCCCGCCGTTGCGCCGCCTCGCCCATTTTTGTTGCCTTCTTGCGCGCTTCTCGGTTCAGTATCCATCAGCTGCCCCTCCGCCGTGGTACAACTGACCCCGAGCATCTTTTAACCCAAGCAACAGGGCTGAGTAAATAATGCACTGAAAAGAACGTCGTACTTTGGTATTTCCTGAACCTGCTTGGTTCAAACTGAAGCGGCGAGGAAAGCCAAGTGTCAGGCAGTCAAGAGAATATCTCAGAGCGGTGAACTGGGGCCCACCGTCAGGGCGTTGGGACGCTTCAGAAGTTAAATGCATTTATAGAGAAATACCTCAGTTTCAAAACACAGGACTGGCAAGCAGAAGTCACACACAACATCTGAAGAAGAGCAACTCTCCTGGGAATCCTGCCACCCAGCTTCTCAGCAAAACACCCTCCTCCACTGCACCACCCACTCAACACCTTAAAGAGGACCTTGCTGGAAGCCCGTCACAAACTCTGTGAGGCAGTGCTGGAGTCTGTGTCTTTTGCCTTCAAAGAACAGGTCAGGGATGTGGGGACAGCTTAGGGGTAGCTGATTCTTCCTCTGGCGCCGTGGGATGGACCGGATGGCTTCTCAACAGTCGTTCCAACCCTGTTTTCTGTGAAGCTCAAGCACTTCAGAACACAGGGCTCGAAACTCACCTGAGAGAGATTGCTGCCACAGGCATACTCCAAATTACTGAGATGGAACTGCAGGACTTTTTCTTCCAGCTCGCTGAACTGGATGCCAGATTCCTGAATAAAGGCTTTATAGATCTCTTGTATTTTTTCTGTGAAAGAACATGGTTAAAGTAAGAATATATCACAATTTGTCAGAAGCCCTACTGCACTTCAGTATGCTAGTCGCTGGATCACAAGGTTTTCAAGCTTATGGCTAATTTGCACTAAGATGTTTTTCTTCTCGTAGGAAAAAAAACCCCACAAAACAAAGAACTCAACAACGACAAAACAAACCCCAAGATCTTTCTGGTGATAAAGTGCAACTTTGTTGTTTAATCATAACTTTCTCTGATAAAATCATCTTCAAAAAGGAAACGTGTAGAGCTTCAGCAAAAAAAAAGTCAAAATTATTTCAGAGGAAAAAAGGGAGGAGGGAGAAATACATACGCTGTGCAACAGCACAGCTGGGGTAGCCAACTGCCACAGGAGAGAAATTAATTGTTTAGCTATCACCAATATACAGCTGAAGATATTCCAAAGAAAACACACTCTAAGATAATGGGGAATCCTTGCAAATAAATCCTGCCTAATTTTTACAAAACCAAAAGAGCTGAAAAATTTGATCCGGAGTTCACTGAAAAACGTAGGCGTTTGCTAATTCTGTCTTACAGAATCCACGCTGAAAAGATCTGGGAGGCAGACATTTCTGAGCAAATTTATTTTTTGTTGTTGAATGTGCTTGCATGCTGAAAGCGTGGTGGGAGGCGTTACCAATGGAGATGGGACTATTCTTGCCAGCAGAAGCCTTTCATCAAGTTCTTTTTTTAGACAGATCAGTCAAAAAGTGTAAGAGTTAGAGCTAGCTATGGCCTCCTTCAGCAAGCAGCAAACCTTGCCAGTGCCACCAGTTCTACCAAAAAAGCTACCTCGTGAAAACAAGACACTACATCAGAATCTGTGCAGTATTATAAAAGCCTTCAAATCAGGCTTCCTTAAAAGTTACAAGTGACATTTTAGTGTCTGACTGTCGTATACACACAATCTCCCTTTGTCCTCCACAGAGCCAGGTTATCGCTCTTGGATTTAAGCCACACGCTTCTAAAAATTTAATATAAAACTCCATGAACGCAGCCAACACCTTCACTCCGCAATACATCTCCCACTTACCACCAAGAGGGACATCTTGATGTTGGGTTTTATCTTTTCTCCACTCGGAGACGACATCTAGGATGGCATTGAAATGAAAGTCCATACGTTTATCAATAGTGGGATCTGTTATCCTTCCACCTTCCTGGATCAAGTCACATTTCTCCCCTAGTTTGTGCATTTTAATGCCAAGCTTAAGAAAAAGACATTTTATTGCTTTTTAAGTATGGAAAAACTACAGTGCCTAGCCTGTTCAAAGACATTTTAAGTAAACTGAATCCCTTAAGCCCAGATTTCAGTGGTGCCACTTAATAAATATCCACAACTTGAAATAATTAACTCAAACTCTTGTTCTCCTCAAATACCAACAATCCTTTCTCTCCATTAATAGTCCACAAACTCTTTTCCCCCCTTTCCATTCTTTTCTTTATCAGGGCTTCCCAGAAACCTTATCTCCAACTTCCCTATCTGGTCAAGGGCTGGGACAGAGATGTTAGGTCTGGTAATCAAATACGATGAATTCTTTTCTTTATCAGGGCTTCCCAGAAACCTTGTCTCCAACTTCCCTATCAGGTCAAGGGCTGGGACAGAGATGTTGGGTCTGGTAATCAAATATGATGAACCTTCCTTTCCACCTCACCTTATTCTCTAAATCACAAAATTTGGTTCTTTTCTACAGCGTTCTGGTGCCTGATGCCCAAATAGTTCCCTGCATTCAGGAATTGCCAGCATGTTGCTTGCCAGTTGCGCCCAATTTTATTAACACACAAGCAAAGGAAGAAATGATCTGGAATTAAACCTCCTATCTTGCTCTGCTTGTCTAACTTGTATGAAAGCACAACAGAGCTAAATCAGAATAAAGACATTTGTATGTTCTACAGAGAAAATAGCACAGATATACTGCTAACTTCTTCCCAGGGCCCTGTTACTTCAGGTGGGGTCCAGGGTTTTTCACATTTCCTCACATCCCTCTAGGCTGTCGGTCACCACTGCGGATCCCTTCTCAACGTACAGTTGTACTTTGAATGATGACATCAAGTGATCCCAAATGTGGGCACCCAAGGAGTATTCAGACCTCATTGCTCCTCACCTCATAACTAAAACATCATTTAAAAAAAAAAAAAAAAAAAAAAAAAAGTCCTCATGACACTCCAGAACACAAAACAGTTAAAACAGCACGGGCTGGATATGCATGCTTCTCCAAACAAAATCCATACTCAGGTTCCACTTAGCTACGTGCCCCTCAAAAAAACCCATACTAACAAATTTAAAAAAAAAAAAAAGAAGACAAAAAAAAAAAGAAATTAACTGCAGTGTGGTTGCATCAGTAATTATTACATGTAGTTATGTTAACTTGGGCAGAATTGAACTAGAAATACAAAGGAAAGTCCAGCACAGACGTACGTACTCCATGAGTAAAGCAACAGCCTCCCAGAGTAAAGCCTTTCTCAGCTCTAAAGAAGTCTGCTGGGGACCTTATGCATAACTATCTCCAGAAAAGGGGGGGAAAATGGGGTTTTTTTTCTGATTCTGAAGCCCCCTTCTTGCTTTTCTTTAGCTAACGTGCCCAAAACCATTCTACAGCCCTTCTCTATCCCTGTTACCAAAGCCACGATAGCAACACGGAGTGGAGTTACAACGCAGAAGAGCGTTTTAATCATGTCATGACATAGGACCCCACCCTTACCCAGCCACCCGAACCTGGCTTTAATGACAGTTTTTTAACTAGTGATAACGCACGACCGCTGCAGGGAACCCACTTGCTCACACATTAGTGCCATGGGGTTGTTGACACATCCGTTGACAATTTGTGCACCTCTCCCAACAGTGACTCCTTTGAACGTCTTGTCGTCCCACACTCGGCCACCAATTCTGTCTTTAGCCTCTAAGACAATGACCTGTGGCACAACACAGCTTAATAAGTTGTAGGATTTGATCATATTAAACGTCTCTGTTCGACATCAGAGCAACGGAGAACACTAAACACACAAAAAAGCACCAGGCAATCCAGCAGTGCTAACAATCCTAACTTTTCGTTTGTGGATATCGTTCCTTTATGCATTTAAACTGTCCTTTAAAGGTTACCCTGTGGGATGTACACATATAAAATAACTGTCATTTTAAGAAACAGCCCTAGCCAAAATAAGTCTTCTTTGTAAGATAGCTACAGACTTAGTCAAGAAAGCTTAACGTCGGAGTTTAAGGCTTGCTACGGGCCATTAAACACAGTGTGCATCTGCAGAAGTCCATACATACACCTTTTGGAGAAATTTATTCCAGGGAAATTCCAAGCAAACTCTATGCTCGTGTATTTCCATCGTTTATACACACCTCCTTCAGCATCCACGACTTGTCACAGACACACAGGATACGGGACTAGATGGATGCCTGACTGAGTGTGTTTGCCCTTACTTAATTCTGTTATCTTTTTGGTTTTTTTAGATGTCATCTTAGATCAAGTCCATCTCTCCAGAAGATTAGAAAGCAGCAGTGTGTCTATATATATATTTATACATTTTATGTATTAAAAACGAGGTCCTGCCAGTTTATATTTATGTATTTCCTATCTTATGTTATAGAGATATCTATCTTATGTTATAGAGATATCTATCTTATGTTATAGAGATATCTATCTTATGTTATAGAGATATCTATCTTATGTTATAGAGATATCTATCTTATGTTATAGAGATATCTATCTTATGTTATAGAGATATCTTTCTTATGTTATAGAGAGAGATATCTTATGTTATAGAGATATCTTATGTTATAGAGATATCTTATAGAGGACTTGAGGTACAGAAAAGCTACACTGCAAGTTGCTCTTTAGCAACCAAAGAATGAGATAATGGGCCTACAGAATTCAGAGTTTCATATAAATATGTACATAAACTTAAAAATATGTAAATCCAGAGATGCTTATGCATTTCCTGAAACATCAGCCCTTCAAACAGTTTGTGTGTGAGGAGTCCCATAGATTTTCGTAAGAAAATTCTCATATGTAAAATCATGTCAGCATATAAATACCGCGAGATCACACCATCAATAATAAACTTGTGAGAAAAGGGAAATACCTGTGATTTGCGTGTTTTTAATAAGCAACAAGCACAGTAAAGTACACAAACAAAAGAAAATTTCACGTCTCTAAACAGCCACCATCATCTACAGGTCCCTTACTGGGGCATGAATATCCATGTCTCTGCGATCCTCCCAGGTCTCTTTAAAATATTCACTGCATGCTTTATTGCATTTAAATACAAATAAATGCTGGTTTTAAGCAGCAGATTTACTCAATAAACCCCCAGGTTGAATTAGGATGCCCCATGCATAAATGTTGGTAACAAGACTGTAATTTTTTTTTCACTTCGATGAAGAACAATTTCAAAGCAGAGGAAGTCTTCTTTTTTATAAAATCATGTGCTGTAAAGTTTCTTACCTTAATTCCAAAGTTGTACAGTTGTCGGGCTGCTGCTAATCCTGCTGCACCAGCCCCAACAATAATGACAGATTTCTAAAAAACAAAAAAAGATTTAAATTTAAAAAGGTAGTCAGAAACAAAATAGAAAATATCATTGCACACTTACTTTTCTTCTTGCTAAAGTTAAAAATACCTGTAGGTTTCAGAAGCCTAAGCCCTCGTGTCCTCTAATCAGCGATAGCTTTTAAAGACAACAGTGCATTTAATACAGACAAAAGATCAGTTGTGCCTTTGAAAAGAGTTACAAGGTTCAAGGACTTCAAAAGCAGATGTATCCGTTTCTTTTAACAGAAACAGCAGAAGTTATTGGTCAAATAACAAAGTCTAACTAAAGTTACCAGACAAAGCAACACACTTCCCTTACAATGATTTCAATCACAGATTTGGGTGATGGGCAAAATCTGGTTTAGAAATTTAAAACATTTTCCAAACATAAATCAACCTACAATTTCTAAGAGCTACGATTTCTAAGATCTGTTTCCGTGGGCTGTGGAGCAAATTGCTGGTCACAGCTACGGACCCTTTAATCATAGGTCTTGCAAAGCAACGTGGAGCAGGAGCTTCCTCACCTATGGGAGCAGAGGCGTGGTACAAGGTTAAGCCACGAGAAGAACTTAAGTGTACTGTGTATTATTCACACAGTTCCCATCGATCTGAAAAGCTCGTGGAGAGCACAAATCCATCGGACCGAATTCCATAGATTTTAGTGGGAAGAACAGCCCTGCTGGAAACAGCCTCACGTCTGTCGTTTCCATAACCATTGACAGCAGGCGAGAACCACATGAAAAAACACGCAACGTGTTTGCTTTTAAATGTTATTTTTACATCAACGTTTGAAACAGTAGGTAACGTGCAAAAATTCCTGAACCAAAAAAATAAAAAAATAACAGACATTGTACCATTAAGTTTTGTAGCACTGATAACGCAGGGATTATTACAGCAACTTACATTGTGGTATTCCTTAGGAAGAAGATACTGGTCAGGACTGACTGATAAAATCCCTGTGTTGATTAGTCCTTTCCTTGTCATGAAATGCAGGATCCTCTCCATTTCCTGAACACAGCGAATACGCACAAGCCCCCGGACAATGATGTGATGGATACATTTTTGAGGGGTAAGAGCCTCCTGCAAAGGAGAAGCAAAGCGGTGATTTTCCAATATTCAATTTTTTTCCATGCGTTTACACCATATTTAAACCCGATGGTAAAAATTAGTCATGAATCAGGCTTCTGAGAGCATTTTAAAAGCAAGTTTTGTGGAAGCTTCTTGCTAGCCGGCTTTACACAGTAAGGCAGCAATTTATTATGCTAGATTGACGTGGGATAAAAGCAAATGAATCTACAAGATACTCTTGCAAACTCCATGGTGTGCTCTAATAGTATAGGAAGGTACCAAAATGCATCCCCACTGTAAAATGACTCTAGCTGGTGGCAATGCTCACAATGATACTGCAGGAAAATCCATTCCAAAATGGCATTCCAAATTAAAAAAAAAAAATAAATAAGGATTAATATCCAAAACCTTCTCATAAATACAGGCATCAGTACCTAAAAGCTTTGGTTTCTGAAATTCCAGCAATTCCATTGAAGGCAGCGTCATAGAGTTAGCATAAATAAAAAGACAATCACTTCCCTGTCCAAGTCATGTGAAAAAAGAAAAAAACCAAAACAAATTATAAAGAGCCCACAAAGACTGTTTAGAAATGTTCAAAAGCATCCCTTTAAAAGGTAGAGGTAATAGTAGGGCAGAGTTGGTAGAGTTTTAATACTCTTAAAGCTTTTGTATTTTACTGGAAAAGAAGCTCCTAGGCATTAAAACTACAATAATTAGAAAAATAAATTAGCAAACAAGCAAACAAAAAAAACCACAACACCCCAGCCAGTCTTGGACGGGACTTTCCAAAGGATGGGATTCTTCTCATGTATAAGGAGACATATAAGAAGAGAGTCCACATCCCCCCGAAGTAGCTATTATTTACAAACAAACAATTTTGGTTTTAAAAATGTAACTATGGCCATCTCTTACCTTGCAGTTTGTGTACCACAGGGCCAAAATCAGGTTTCTCAAAGCCAAGTACATGGTAGGGTCTCGCGAATATTCTGGGAACTCATAGAGCTCATCCAGTTCCATCACGTCTGGCCTCACGCAAAGTGCTTTCCCACATTCATTGGGCTGGTAAAAAGGCTGGAAATACTTGTTCATGCCTGCAACTGAATAAAGACACACCAAAACCCAGTCACGTTCCATCGCATCTTCATCGCATCCTTTTCCCGCTAGGAAGATCCACGGACCTCGCACAGATCAACAAGTAACGAAGCTTTCAGCCTCTAGCCACCTCCAGAAGGACTTCACTTATCTTGCTCTTCCCTCTCCTACCCTCTCAGCTGTGCACAGTGTGAATTAATGACACGGGGACGTCTTGCACCTATCGGAGCTTAATTTTTTTGGTCAGAGAAACAGTGTGTGCCCTCGGATGCCACGATGAGTCCGACAAGGAACAGGATCTCAGCTCAAGTCTAAGGCCCAGCATGACCATACAGGTTCATGCCGTACTCTGAACCCCGCTCGTCTGCAGCTCCCAGCACTGCCCAGTGTGGGTGGTGACTAAAAATAATCATCTTCCACTTGCAGTATTGGTAGCTCTGTGCAATGAAGTTTTCTGTTTGTGAGGCCAGTAATTGTCTGTCAGACAGATTTATTTTCAGCACCTAAGGCAAGCGAAGCCTGCTAAGACAACACAGAAGCTGAACTTCCCTCAAAGCACTCTGAGACGGGTATGGGAATCCCAAATTTCCTTTCTCCACACCTGGCCTATCCTGCAGATCCGCACTCCCAGGCTGTCAGGCTCAGAGCTGTCGTTAGCAAAAAAATTAACCCAAACAGAATCTGAGTGCCTTAAGAAATCAAATCCCATTCTCCAAAGCCCGAAAGATCCACAGTACCAAAACTAGCGGAATCGTGGGGTTTTTTGATAAATCTTCATTCCCTTGAGAACGCAAACTGCCGTTAAGTACCCGCGTGTTAATTTCCCATCTCTATAATACAAATGACAGGTGCTAAACAAAAGGCCAGTGCGGTCTGTGCTTACTCCCTGAAGAGATGCCGTACCGAGTGTGTTACCTTTACCTTACCAACGAGTAAATCGCATCCAAGAAGCACAGAGGCAGCCACACCGAGAGTGCGTTATTAGTGCTGAGAACAGAACCGGTGGTTCTGAACCAGGAGCAGTGTGTGCCTTCTCAGCTCAGTTACAAGACAAAATTGATCACACCTAGTTAAGCGACAGAGCCCTGCAGATGGCCCTTACCAGTCAAATTAGGCACGCTCTTTAAGTGCTCTAACTTCACAAGGTTGGATTCACCAGGTAACCGATTAGTGCTGGTACAGGATGGACTCATGCCCACGCAGTCTGGATAATATGCAGCTAGAAAGGGAGCTGCCACACTGTCTTTCAGCAAAGGAGGGAGTATGAGCATGGAGTACCACCAATGGTCTGAAACTTCAGCCACTCTCTGGCCAAGCGGAGAAGTGAAGGAAAGAGGGGAGAAGAGAACACGTCAGTACTTTGAAAACGTTGGAAAATCGAAACCAGTTCCCCCGCCTCCCCCCAAAAAGCTGAGACCAGAAAAAGTGCTAGAAGTACCAATCTCAGAATTGCAAGTCATGAAGACATTTTCTCTCCCTCTTTCCCCTTCCTCAGCCTGACACAGAAAACCTGTAGCTTTAATCTCTTCCTCAGAAATGGAGCTGAAACTTCACAAACGCCACACCCACGTGGACAGCAGACAGATGACACATGCCGTGACAACACATCTATGCCTTATCAGGCCCTTTATAAAACATTTACAGTCGTTTATGCTTCCAGAAATCTGAACTTAGAAAAGTCTACACTAACCAATTTAATTGAGACCCTGCTATCCCCTTCAGAGACCTTCTCAAACCCTATGAAACACTAATGAATCTGCCTTAATTTACGAATCAAACATGCATTAAGGAAACAAAACCACAAAGCTTCTCTAAGAGTCAACAATAAGCTTCAACAGGTATCCCGGGACAGAGGTGGCTCAGGTACATTTGTCAACATTGGCTTATTGAACATCGGATCGTGGTAAATCTGAAATGTAGGGTTACGTGATCATAAACCCATTGAGACGCCAACATACGTCGAGTCTAGTTCTGTATTATGAGGAAGAGGAGGGAGAAAACATGTTTTGACCTTCTCTCGCAGTCTTCCAAAAGAGGAGACTAGCTTGACTAAAGAGAGAAACCACCTGAAAGACAGGGGAATTTCAGGATGGGGAATTTTATTCAAAAGCTGGCAACTGCTGTTTTGCCTGCCCAAAAATGAGTTAGGAGTAAACCTTGAATCACAGGGCACAACTCAACGACACCACAAACCACCTGAAAGCCAGCTGGTATGGCAAGGGAAAACAGGAAAAAGATGAGAAAGCAGAAGGCCCTGGGCTCTGTTGCAAGTAGTTTTTCCTGAGCAAAATGCGTAAATGCCACCATTATCGGCCAAAGGACCAAGAAAAGGAAAGAAATATGCTGTGCTTTAAGTTTGCTTTCATATTCTAGGACAAATCAGGAACAGCCACTACTCACCAAGTCCTCAGGCATGGAGCACTGGTCTGAGCCCTCAGTCTGAAAGAAAAGTTGAACGGTGTCAGAGCTGTTCTTAAGCTCTACAACAACAATTAAATATAAAATCAAGTCCTTTGTCTACGACATAGTTCTTTAAACTTAAAACACAAACCAAAATTGTTAGCGTTAGCCTTCTGTAGCACAAATAATTATGCTAATAAATGTAAGTAGGAAAGAAATGCATAGTTAAAAACCCCAACATGACAATAAAGCAAGAACATCCCAGAAAATGTTTCTTATCTGTTTAGTTTCTACTGATAAGACAGTAAGATATACATTCTGTTCCATAAAATGGAGTGGAACATTGAAACAAACAAATAAGAAAAAAAATAAAAATTGGAATTTTAAAAAAAATACTGGAAATATTCCACAGTTTCCAAGGATGCTCTTCCAGTCTAGACTATATCACAAAGTTTCTCATTTATTTTCAGAGTACCTTTATCACAAAGTTTCAAGATTAAACGCTGACCCTTCTGATTTTCATATGGGCAGTATTCTGACATGTTTTCAACTATGGAGATTCTAAGGCACTATAGAGACTCTTCCAAATTTCAGTTTTCCTGTAAAGCTCCATGACAGACATGCTGGAAATTAATAAACGCTCTTTGAGCTTTTCAAATGCTTTCCTCAATAATGAAGTAGGGCTTGACAAACCCAAACCAAACGTTTTGGTGTACGTCTATTTTGTACATGCGGATAAGCTTTCCATAGCTTCAGAACGAAGGGGTTTACAATGGACTGCGCAAAAATATTCCAGACACTTCTTCCTTGACATTTCCACTCGGGAAACAAAACATCCCTGTCGGCCTGTTGCCCATGCAGCTCTCTGGGCCATCAGACAGTCATTTTGACATCAGAAACAAGAAGAAATCAACGTCTACGCAAACGAGAAAATACCAGCTTGTTGTGCAAACAAGAAAACACCGGCTTGTTGTTCGTTTCGCAAAACTCTTCTGCGTTACCTTGGTGGAATTGTTCAGTTTCATACCACATCTGTAGGTTTTTGCTATCTGGGGTGTCAGCTGGATTTCCTTTGTCAGCTGACGCCATTTACCGCAGTCTGGCTTTGTGCACTGCACCTACAAGTCAAAAAAAAACCAACCAAGCATGTTTTTACTCATTGCCATCTGATCACAGATAAGATTAATGAGGCATAACTAACCAGTTAGAAAGAAGCGAGATGTGAGGAAGTTGTCAAATATAACTGTTAAGTTCGTTCCCATGTAATCTTCGAGCAAGGTATCTGGTGTACGGAAACCTCACGCCCATCTCCTGCAAGACCGAATTTCTCCACAGAACCTAACTCCTAAATTAATTCAGCGCCCAGTTGCTACGGTCTTCAGGGGGGTTTGAAAGCGTTACTGCAAAAGCACATTGCTCACCACTTCAAAGGCAATAACAAACCCCACCCACCACCAGTAAACTTTCCATTCTGGTGTCTCTTCTGCGCTCTTTACCAGGGAAAAACACAAAATGTGTTTTAGAAGTCTTTCACACTCGTGCCTTCCTATAGCTGGCATGCTCCCTTTTTCCCTGCCAAGTCTTACTCTACCTAAACATCACACATCTTGCTACCTTACTGAAAAAGTTGCTACCTTACTGCAAAGCACCAGAAGGCTGCTCTTTGTGGTGCCTGGAGGAGGTCTCCAACAATCAAGGAGCTGATCAAAATCGCTATCTTGAGCTTTTTCACAGTCCTCCGATACTAGAAAACCCCCACAAAGAAATCAGCTGACCTGCTGCTTGAACAGACAATGTCAGAAACTCACATTGGAAGATGGCATTGAAATATACACTATTAAATAAATCCCCCTCCATCTTACCCAGTAAGGAAGCTGCTGATCAGCCATGAAGGCTTTTGGACTGGGCTCGCTTTTGCCATTACTTGTCCAAATCCTTTTCCAGGCAGTGTATTTCTCATAACCATCTTTATGGCTAAGAAGAAAGAGAAAACAGCAAGCAGTCAGAAAATTGAGTAGCTTGTTCATTTTGAGCAACAGCAGTTATTCTAAAATTCAACATTTTATAGAAGGACAGAGAAATAAACCTGTAGAGAGCCCTCTTTTTCCTACACAAAAAAAGGAGAAAGTCAGGACTCTTACGATAGCAATAAATTGCATCCTGACCACTATGTTGCCTTGAGGATGAGCACACCTCCCCGTATCTAAGGTCTGGACTGAGCCACACGTACTGCTGAGCATGTAAACCCCCCCAGACATCTTGGCTGAGCTGGACTCAAATGGGAAGGAGGTTGGAGCTGAGAGCACTCTGAGCATCATCAGTCTTCACGGTCACTGAACCGCAAGAGGTAAATCTGCTCCCTGGTTTGAGAGGCAGAGTTACAGAGCAGCGAGGGCTCCCCAACTCATGTTGTACAGTGAATTTGCTTTATAAGGGAGAATAGATTTACTTAAAACTGTTCTCAGAATTTATAATTCTCGGATGTTGTTTTTAAAAAAAGCGACAAAAGCTTCAGAGTAACTGCACACACCAACTGGCCGGCCTAGAGTAACCAGTTGTTAACCACACTGCTCTTTAAGTTGATGATTAGTCCATACAAAACCCACAGTTTTCGCACCCATATCTAAGCTCACTTTGAATAAAGCAAGCGCAGAGGACAAATCTTTGTTATATTTATGTACAGGATGTTTCCACAGTCGTAATGCGTGCAGAATTTTAACCAGCACCGCACAGGCGCAACCTTAATTGGCGAATCTACCTTCGATAATAGTGGTCAAAGCATTCATTGCAGAAGTGTTCCCCGCAGGAAAGGTGATACCATCGAGACGTGTACCCATTTTTAGCGCATCTGTAATGCAGGGGACATAGAAACAGGTTTACAATACATTTAGGAAAAATACTTTCTGTTGAGAGCAGCATATTCTAAAATGTGAGCAAAATATCCAGGGCAAGCCAGGGCTTTATGTTACGTTCACGAAGGCTGACTGGCACAAGTCATACAAATAACAATAAGATCATTTCAATTGTCTCAAACGTTTCCAGTTCCCAGACTAAGCAACACCAGATGCAAAGGAGGCAAAATGTACACAATGAGCAGTTTTATAGTTGGCCTGGCTTCCAGCAACCTCCCGCTAACAACGGTCAGCTGAGCCTGTCTTTAGTACCCTTTAAGCAGACATTTCCTGAACATGAACTACATCTGCTCTTACAATACGCGCTGCGACACACAAAGCGCTCTGCACACACGCAAGAAGACAAAGTCCCCGTCCGTAGGAACTTACAGTTCCTTTACTTTGCTCCGTTTCGTTCTGGTATTAGTGCAGGGGTGGGAGGAATCATTTAAATTAGTATTTAAATTGTATGTGTGATCAATCGATTCGTAAATCATTACAGCATCCCGTCCCTAGAACAACTGACAAAACTATAAAGGCAAATCTGAACACAAACCAGATGCTGCCTTTTTTCTTTCTTTTTTTTTTTTCCTTCATGCGCCTGAGTTGGTTGCAATTTTCACCCAATGAGAGAAAACCCTGGGAAGCAATTAGACATTGTGGGCATTTATTCTTTTTTACTCTCAGAAATAAAAGATTGATTAGCAAAGATTACATTCATCAGACAAAGCCATCACTCTTCACCTAGAGAGCTCTCATTAAACTCAATGAAATGGCCTGAGATAAATGCACAAGGTAAAAAGCAGGAGGTAAAAAGCCGTGACGTAAGCTACTAACCCAAATAGCCAGCCACGAAATGATCTCATCCCAAACAAATAACGTTTCAAGTACATACTTGGGGGGAGGGGATGGAAATCAAAATATTAAAACAATTCAAAAAGATGACTAAGCGGTATCATTTCCCAAATAAAACCCCACAATATCGCCAGTGCTGATCTCTCAGGTGCTCATTTCCCCTCCGAGTCTCTTACACAACTGCCAAAGCACTTGGCTTTCCTGTGAGAACAGCCAGAACACACTGACCTCCTACCACCGAAGAACAGAAAACTAAATGAAGCACTGAATTATTTTATATCGCTGGAAAAGGGAAGTTTGCCTCAGTCTAACCAAGAAGAGAGAAATGTTACATAATTAGTCTGCATACTGCAAAATAAGGTCTAATGTGTTCCCTATTATAGCTACACCTTGCCAGTATCGCGCACTCGGTACCGCCAGGGTCAGAATGCAAAAGGACTTGTGCAAGGACGCAGGAACGTGCGCATGAACGACGGGAGAACAAAGAGTTCAAATAATGTCAAAAACGCCTCCCAAGACCTAAAATTTCAAAGCCAGAATCCCACCCCAGACTGCAGAGCATTCCAATGAGAGTGCAGCAAATGACGGTTTCATTTTCCATCTCGAAAGCAAGTGTAGCTGCCTCAGATTACACTAATACCCTCTCAGTTTCACAGAAGCAAGGCGTGTCCCAGAAGACACCATTAATAACAAAAACAAGCGTATTCTAAAGATATTCTATATCTGAATTCGCAGCTTGCGCAGTCAAAAGTTATCCAACAATGGGAAAAACTCGTGACACTTTCCTGGCATCTTAAGACACATGTCAATACCTTTTGACTCTCCCTCTACATTTTAGAAATGGGTTTTTTTCAGAATATAGTTAGAATCCTAAACTTCAGCTGTAAGTTTTAAAAAAGCCCGTGGTAAAAGCAAATAAAAAGAACCAAACCTTTCAGCTGCACTGGCAAAGCAAACGGGACATGCTGCAGTGCATCCAGCTTTTTCACACTTTCTATATTTCTTCTCTGATGCTTCATCGTCATCATCTGCTGCTTCAGTCGCCTTCTTTTTCACCTAATAAAGAAAAGCTGAAATCTGACCAGAAATGACACAAACGCATCTTCTACAAAATGGCACTCAGGCAGTTTCACAGCTTGTGGGTGACATCAAATGGTTAAAATGGTACTAATGAAAATTTTTGTATCCATTGTGAAATAGCTGCAGCACGAAACAGCTGTCAAAGTAGGTCAGTTTTTCTAGAAAAAAATGACGCAGTAAGGCTGGAAATACCATTTAAAGCTAAAAATGTCCTGTTTTAACTGATGCAATTGAAGAAATTACCAGCAAAGCTTCCAGTTTAAATCTTATTTTAAGCTCGCTGAGGAGTCAAGCCTCACGCATTCATTCTCTTTCTCCTTTAGAGAAATCTCTTCTTCACATACTTACTGATAGTGGTTAGCGGCAATCTTATCTGAGCCTCAGATAAAATATCAGGGTAGGCTTGGGGTTTTTTTTTTGGTCTCCAGGTACAAAGCCGGATACCAAACATCTCCTCTGGGCATCAAAGGTGCAGCGGGTATTGTGTTGTTTTAGGCCTCCGTCAGGATGGGCAGACAGCTTTGTACAGAAACTTGTGACTGTATTTGTAACACTCGGAGTATTTGCAGATTATATTGAGCATTTATCTTTTCTCGGTGTTGTTCATGAATCAGACACTTCGTGTGCTTCTTCACAGAATTAACTAATTCCCCCTCTCTCTGGATAAGCTCTAAGTTATCCGCAATGAAACTCACTTTCTTTATAAGTATCAACAGCAAATAAAAAAACCCACCAGAGTATAAACCCATGTGGTTTTAAATGATTAAAAATACCTGTCTTCCAGAACTTCTCAGAGGAAGGCTGTCCGGAGACTGGTCTGAAGAACATGCCTTTTTCTTCGTTCGTACCCTTCCTGTTGACATTGTATAATTAGATCTGCAAAAAAAAGGTAGGCAGTAGTTAAGAAAAAAAAAAATTAAATTGCTTGGCTTTGTAGAGCTGTCTAATCACCTGGGCAGCAGAGCCTCTCATGATACTACTTTTATCAGTTACCTAGGTGAGAATCTGTTTAGCTTGACTATTATTGCAGGAGGAAAATGAGAATGAGGCATTACAGGAAAGGAACAATACTACTATTTTAAACTAAATTCGGAGTTAAGATTAGATCCTTGAGTACATCTTGACAGGCTGTTCCAGATCAGCACACCCTGGATTTCCATAATCTGATTTGTGTTACGTGAAGACCTGGCCTGGAATTTGGGCTGGCAAAGCGAACAGACGTCAGCTCGCAGAGCAAGCACTGCAACACCACCCCGAGTAACGCTCATCCCGCTAACTCCTGATTTATCGGTAACAGGAGATTTGCACCGTAAAGTACTTTTCCAAACAAGGCACTGAAGAGATGTTTAACACTGGGTGACCAACCAGTTCCAAGACCTGCACGGCCTCCTACGAAAGCACGTTGAAGCCTAAACCGCGGCTGCGTTGCAGTTAGAGGTGATCGGAGTATGACAAACTTTGCTGTTAAGCAAAGAGAAAAGAAAAGGTTTATGCTGCAAGAGAGGTCTGTAGCTGCCTGCAGCTACGTCGGTGGGGACATGGAACAGACAACAGTTTATCATGTAAGCTGGAAAGCACAGAGTGTAAGAAAGCACGCCACAGAAATATGAAAGCGTATTTAAAATGGTATTATGCAAGGCATTCTTTCCACAGATAGTAAAACACAAATAAGAGAGAGCCTAGAGGAAGAATTAAATCTAAAATGTGCTCCACCACACACAGAAAGGAAGTGGAAATAAAGCCCCTACCCTATAGCACTATAGCACCTATAACACGTTATCTTGCTGTAGTAAGAATCAGTTTGTAATTACAGTTCTTTTAAAGTGTATCTGAGAGTTCTCAATTCTCCCTGCTCCAGGCTGCATCACCCTGTTCAAGCTGACAATGATGGACATGGTAGCAGTAGCTTCGTCCAGGAATTCTGCTGAAAGTAAAGGTTAACAGGAGCAGAGAATGGGCATTTTTACAAATTTTCAAATTAAGCCAATGCGAATCACGTAAATTGGTGCTTCATCCTCCTCTCAAGACAGAAGAAATGGATTTGTGAAGAGAACAGAAATCACACGATGGTATCCAGGTAAGGGAAAAATTAGTTCAGACAAACTAATACAAAAAAATAGCTTCCTTTTCTGTATGCAACCGCTGCTAGTAATAACTAATTAGAAGGAGGAAAAAAAAAATAATTAAGTCAGTCTTTAATACCTAAAAAACCAAGCATGACTCCGCCATAGCTTACCACAGCATGGGTGTGGATGAAGTCAGAGAGCAGCGAAAGGAAAACCAACCAGTTTCGTTTACATGAGATTTCCCTAAACTGCTGTGAAACGCCCCAGGAAATTGGGGCTTTTTTTTCCTCAAGCTGTCTCCTTCTGGATCGGTGGCACAACAGTATCTCCTTCTAACACCTGAGCTTCCGACACGAGATAAATAATCGTTCCTACGTGCAGCTGCCTTTACAATTGGAGGCTACGAACTACGTCAGCGCTGAGCGAGGCACCAGGTGACTTGTTTTGGTGGCCACCAGGTGACCCATTTTGGTGCCCACCAGCTGCTCACCGGCTGCTCCCACATCCAAGGGGGTAAGAGGAGACACAGCCATGGCGTATACAGGGCTTAGAAAAAGAAAAGGCGGCAGTTATCGTTCGCTGAGAACGATGGTAAAAATGTTCGGAGAGGCAGAGAGGCCTCGCAGCTTGAAAGGCAGAGGCCAGCCGGAAAGAACCACCAACATATTTTTGCCGTGAGCGCTGAGGGAGCGGGGGGAGAAAGGTGGAAAGAAAAAGAGATCAGCTCCTGCGCAGAACCATAAGCCAGGCCACCGCTTCGTCCCCACTTGCCCCCTCGCCCCGAAAACCCCACCGATTTTTACAGACCAGGCGAACCTGGCTCTCTTTCCGAGGCTTTAGGTGACCCTGCAGCCTGCTGGCCGGGAGAACCGGCCCCTCGGAAGGAGAGCGATGCCACCGCGCCGCCACGCCTGGCCTAGGTGGGAAAAGCTGCACGGGGTTCACCTGTACAGCTGGCAGCAAGTTCCGTCTTTTGGGGGTAAAACCGGAGAGAAACAAACCACATATACAAACACACACACAGAGAAGAAACGAGAGCAGCCCCAAAA